TCTCGCCCTACTGTAAAGAGGTAGTCATTGACTGGGGTGGTTTCCTCATCCCAACACTCAGGAAACAGGCACAAGGCTGCATGATGAGACCGTCTTAATTTTTATTTTAATCGTCATGACCAGGATAACTTGTAAAAGAAAGCCTTTAATTTGGGGGCTCACAGTTCCAGAAGGTTTTCTATGACCGTCATGGCAGGGAGCATGGCGGCAGACAGGCAGACATGGGGCTGGGGCCACAGTTCAGAGCTTTCATCTGACCCACAAGCAGGAAGCATTGAGATGATGTGGGCTTTGAAACCTCAAAACCCACCACAGTGACACACCTCCTCCAAGGCCACACCCACCAACGAGGCCACACCCATCCAACGAGGCCACACTACTGGGGACCAGACATTCAAACATAGGTACCTGTGGAGACCATTCCCATTCAAGCCAACACAGAAACCTTGTCTCAAAATTTAAAAAAAAAAATAAAAATTGCAAGAAATTTTTAAACACATTTATGCACATATATAAATCTCAGAGATGCTAATAAACTGTGATTTAGTTTTAGTATTTAACGTGTCTTGAACATCTGTCTATACCAGAATTGATAGTTCTGCATTATTGTTTTGTGAAGTGAATTCTCTGTGCTCCTGAGGACCTGTCTTCCCGGCTCACTAACCCTCCTCTTTTCTTGGAGGTACCTCTTTTCCTTCTAAGTAAACTGCCCCTATTTCTGAGTGGGTTGTTGGGTTTTCTGTTTGTTTGTTTGTTTGTTTGTTTGTTTGTTTGTTTGTTTGTATTTTAGAGCAGATTCTCAGGATGCCATTTAAGTTAAATACATTTGGAAAGATTTCCTCATACATTTTCCACATATGTGGAAATTTGATGGTGGCTGGACATAAAATGGAGAATCCAGGAAGCTCTGGGTTCAATCCCTGGCATCACATATAATCCGGCAGGCATACCTGTTATCCCAGCACTTGGGGATGGAGGCAGAAAGGCAAAAAGCTCAAATGCAGCCAGTGTTTGAGGTCATCCTGTGCTCTAGTGAGCCCCTGCTCTTAAAGAAAAGTGGGACTTTATGTTTATGTGACTGATGATTGATATAGATATTAAAGCTTAACCATCCCATTCAAAGGAGAGCATGTGAAAAATGAAATCATACCCTGTTTGACTTACTGTTGTCTATTTCCCCCGGAATAGAACGGGATCCTTGTAGAAATACATGTATAGAAACATAATAGTTAAATGGGACTTACTGGGAGATAAAAGGGAGAAGAGGGTCACTACAGGGCTCTTTAAGAATTGTTAGTCACTCTTAGTCAGGGTCGCTGTTGCTGTGAGGAAACACCACGACCAAAAGCAAACTGGGGAGGAAAGGGTTTACGTTGTTTACACTTCCGCATTGCTGTTCATCACTGAAGGAAGTCAGGACAGGAACTCAAACAGGGCAGGAACCTGGAGGCAGGAGCTGATGCAGAGGCCATGGAGGGGTGCTGCTTACTGGCTTGCTCTTCATGGCTTGCTCAGCCTGCTTTCTTATAGAACCCAGGGCCACCAGCCTAGGGATGGCCCTGCCCACCATGGGCTGGGCCTTCCCCCATCAATCGCTAATTAAGAACATTCCCTACAGGCTTGCCTACATCCTGATCTTATGGAGTCATTTCCTCAGTTTTGAGGTTCTCTCCTCTGATGACTCTAGCTTGTGTTAAGTTGACACAAAACTGCCATCACTGTCACTAAGTGCACTGATTGTCAGTAATAAGATTGTCTGATTTTTATGGCCCAATAAGACTGTTTACCCAGGGACAGCAGGGTTGGCTCGGTGGTGAGAGCATTCGCTGCTCCTCCAGCACCCACTTGGTGGCTTTCAGCTGTCCAACTCCAATTCCGGGGGATCTGACTCCCTTGTCAGGCTGGGAAGGGGGTTCAATGGTTAAGAGCACTTGCTGTGCTTACAGAGGACTGGGGTTTGGTTTCCAGCACCCACACAGCGGACCATAACCATCTATAACTCTAGCTTCAGGGTCCCATGCCCTCTTCTGACCTCTGTGTGTGCATACGTGCTGGCAAACCCAGAAACATAAAATCCTTAAAAACAATATGAAAAATATTTTTTAAAAGACAATGTTTCCTCACGTAAATGACTAAGAAACGATATAGCTGGGCATAATGGCACACATCTCTCTCCTTACAATGCAAACACTTCACTGACAGCTATCTCCCCAGCCCTCCTTCTTTCATGTAAATGGTGGTTATTTTTTCATTCATTCATTCATTCATTCATTCATTCATTCATTCATTCAGGGTCCCATTCTATAGCTGTGGCTGGCTCTGGACTCACTATGTAGACCAGGCTGGCCTCAAACTCACAGAAATCTGCCTCTGCTGGGATTAAACGATGTGTGGCACCACTCCCAGCCCGATATTTTGGGGCTTTTGTTCTTTTGTTTTCTTCTCCATTTTTCCAGATGGTTTCTCAGTGCAGCCCTGGCTGTCCTGGAACTCACTCTGTAAATCAGGCTGACCTCGAACTCAGAGATCCACCTGTGTCTGCCTCGTGAGTGCTGGAATTAAAGGTGTGCACTACCACCGCCCAATTTGTGTGTGTGTGTGTAAGATTTATTTTTATTATTTCTAATTATGTATAGATGTGTGTGCACACACGGGTACACAATCACATGCATGTGGGTATGCACACGAGTGCAGGTGCCTGCAGAGGCCAGAGGTATTCAGTGCCCTGGAACCGGAGTTTCAGGTGCTTGTAACCACCATGTGGGTGTTAAGATAGAGAAGCTTGTTCAGAGTCGAGCACACAGGTTCATCTCCAGGCAGTGCAGCCCAAGGATCCCTGGTTTTCATCATGTCTCCTCTGAAGTTCTGACAGGTAGATGATCAGTGCATGCGATCCTAAAGATGCTTTTCCACGGTCTGCTGTTTTCCCCTGGGCTGTTGTCTCCTAGACAACTTAAGTCTCCCATGTCACCTGGGGAAGAACATTAGAATCCACGGCACTTTTCCAAAGCCACTTAACTTCTGAGTTCCAAAAGGGAAATGGCTTGGGAGCCAGTAGAGCTGGTTTCATAGTGTCTTGGCTACAGGAAGAATGCACTAGGATTTAGAACCACCACACACACCTACACTCACTGTAATCCTGCCATCCATCCGTGGAGCCAATAAATATATACTGTGCTCCTAGACATCACAGAACCAGATATTTTAAAACTTGGTATTGGGGCGCTGGAGAGATGGCTCAGAGGTTGAGAGCACTGACTGCTCTTCCAGAGGTCCTGGGTTCAATTCCCAGCAACCACATGGTGGCTCACAACCATCTGTAATGAGATCTGGTGCCCTCTTCTGGCTTGCAGGAACACATGCTGTATACATAATAAATCAATCTTAAAAAACAAAACAAACAAACAAACAAAAAACTTGGTATTGGGAATAAAGGACATAAAGAACTGCTTAGTCTTGTGGCATCTAGTCATGTGATGGAAGACTAAAAAATAACAAACTCAATCAGTAGAAATGCCAGAGAAGTAAGAGAAAGAGCCCAGGAGAAGCAGTTGTTTCAAATTATGGCTATGATTCCAGTGCTCAAGAAGATGAAGCAGGAGCGCTAAGAATTCAAAGCTGATTCTGGCAGTGGTAGCGCATAACCTTTAATCCCAGCACTTGGGAGGCAGAGAGGCCAGCTTGGTCTAAAGAGTGAGTTCCAGGACAACCAGGGCTGTTACAGAGAGAAACCCTGACTTGAGGAGAAAGAAAGGAAAAAAGAAAAGTTCAAAGCCATCTTGAGCTATACAAACCTTATTCAAAACAAAAATGGTGTGGATGGTGTGTATGAGAGAGAGCACGCGCGCGCGAGAGCGAGCTCTAAAGTGGAGACATTTGAATAGTTACCAAATGAACCAGCATATGGCTGGTTGGCATAAGACCGCTGAAGCTAAAAGCTCGCGGTAGAAGCGTGACTGTTGAAGGGGCTACAGGAAAAGCCAGTTTATCGAAGCGAAGTATGAAGAGAGGAGAGTAGCCGGAGATAGGATGAGATTATGGGAGGCGGAACCCCAGGATGGACCTAGACCTTGCCTTATGTCAACGGAGAAACGGTAAGACAAGTCCCAAATAACTTCTTGGTCCTTATCGTGCCCATTCTAAAGATGAGCTGCAAAGAATTAAGAACACGGAGAAATCGGCAGACAAGGAGGCGCATGCCTTTAATCCCAGCATGCGGGGGTGGGGGGTCGGGGGCAGACGGATCCTCTGTGAGTTCGAGGCCAGCCTGGAGCCTACAGAGCAAGATCCAGGACAGCCAGGGCGAGAAACAAAAG